CCGAAGTATTTTAAATCTACAAGACCAATTTCAATCAGAACCGATCAATACACACAAAATTTGATTACGTATCATTCTGGCCTGACCTGCAGGTCAAGTCGGTAACTTTCATACTTATTAACATTTGGAAAAAAACAGCTAGAAAGATAGATCTTGAATAGATCAAACGAGAATAATATTATAGTGACGTTGTCGGCTTATTGTTGTTGTGTTGGTGTTTGTTTATGGATGATGTTTTGGCGTACCCTTGTGTCAACCCTAGTTAACTCTTGTCCTTTTCTTTCTTCTTCTATAACTTTGCATTGCTAGTTAGTTTATCTCTTACTTCTTCTTTCCTCATATTTAGATTATCTTCCTTTCTCTTTCCCTTGCTTCAAATACACAGCAATGAATGATATAGAACAAACAGAAAATAAAAGATAAAGCTAAGATCGTTACAATTGTTTATTGAAATGAAAAGCTTTGCATTCAAACAAAAAAAATTGTGCGTCTTCTTAAAAAGTTGATGCCGTGTCGGACGAAAAATTAAGGCCATGAATATGGCATGTATTGAATCGGATCTAGAATGATGTTATCAACTGAAATAGAATGATTATCAGGCATTGATTATAATCAATTAGAGATGAATTTTCAATATGATTTTCGAGGATGTGGGTGTGGGTCTAAGACTCTACTCTTCATCTACACCCACAGTTTTCTTTTTTTCCTAAGGAAAATAAGATTAATAAGACAAGCATGTTGAAAGTTATTGTCTGTAAAACTTCAAATGACCGATTGCCTGTTTCACGATTCAATGTATATTACGAAGCTGGATATTTCATTCTACTTCATCGACTTTTCTGTATTGATATCAAACAACGATGCATAACAAGTGTACTGTCTGTTTGATGGTGTTACAGAAGTCTCAAGTTGTATACATAAGAAAAAAACGACAAACAAGAAAAAATTCTATTACATATTAATACTGTTCTAATTATAGAATATCGAAGAAATATTAAGGACAAAAAGAGGTCAAGCACATATTTCTTGTTGCCAACTACACAATGAAAGGAAGAAAAAACGATTGCGATGTTGATTTTCTCGAGAGAGAAAGAGAAAAGGGGTTGATGCCAGAGTTCGACTAGGGTCAGGTCAAAAAATTTGGCCCATGTCGAGCATTGCAACATATGGAGTAGTAGATGACATAATTGTGACTGGAAAATATCAGATTGTCAACATCACAAAATACTTAATACTCTATGTCTCACAGTATCAGACGATAAAATATTCTGTAAAAAAGAGTAATAAAATTTGTAACATTTTTTCAGATATATTCAACAAAACGTTGATGCGCTAGGAATGCGAAGATTTTCTGTATATTAATTCATCTTCCACTGTCAAAACATACACAAAATTGCATCTAGAACCATATCAATGTCCTGTATTCTTAAACGACGACAGACGCTTAACCGTTGACATTCTTGCATCTTCTTGCAAAACTCTATATTCAAATATTTGAAGAAATATGGTGTCTTTGATTTATATTGCCGAACACTATACCCTGTACATAGGTTGTTTTCTTTTCCTAATGGGTGTTTTTGGCAATTTCATGATTCTATTGATATTTTCAATGGATCGCCATTATCGTACAACACCATGTACCTTCTATTTTCTCATTGGCTCTGTACATGACATGCTTCTGATTCTAATTGTTCTCGGCTTACTCAAATTTCAATCGCATGGTGTAAGGCTCGATACTATTTTTTCAGTACTTGGGCTGGCATATTGTTAACTTGTCAATGCTTAGCAACGCTCGATCAATATCTTGTCACATCAAGAAATGCTCGTCTTCGTCATTTGAGCTCTATAAAAAGTGTTCATCGAATTGTTGTAGTGACCCTTATTGTCTGGTGGATACATGGCATATCATGGTTGATCTATCAAGACATGTCACCAATCACCGGCAAATGCATATATATTAATTCGATTTTTCATCGTTATGTCGTCTTTTTTGGTTTAGTCAGTCTCTGTTTGCTTCCAAGTGTGTTCCTAGCCATATTCGGATTTCTGGCCTATAGGAATGTATCCCAAACGAAGACTCTGAGTAAACAAAACACACATCATCAAATGACAATCATGGTTTGTTGGCAAATCTTCCCGGTTATTTTGAGTGGAATATTTAATGGTGGCTGGAATATCTACTCACTCGCTACTTATGATATGGTAAAGAGTGATGATCGATTGCATAAAAAAGATTTGTTTCAATCAACAATTGCTCTCTTGACATATTTGGGAAGTTCCGTAAGTATTACACATATGTGAAGTAAAAGAAAGATGATATAATCGGTCTTTTTGTATTTGAATAGACAAGATTCTATTTATTCTTGATTGCTTCGAGTCGCTTTCGTCAAGTAACTAAACAATGGATCTGTTGTTGGCGATCAGATCATCAAGCTCCTTCCAGTGTTAACGTAGCTATGGTGAAACATGACCGACAGAATGACTCACCACATTAAATTACTTACAATGGAATATATATAGAGTGTCCAGTAAGGAACTCCACGAGGAAAAATTTGAATGTCTTCATTGCACCTCACTCAAATAAGTTGACTTTTTTCTTATAGTAGAAGACAACCCAAGCGCCATTTATACAGGCGTGGTCTATTTATACACATATATAAAGAGAGAAAACCTTTGTTTAGTATATTAGTGGACGGTTTATTTAGTGATGATTTATTAACCATCAATATATAGCTCAGATATTGGAGTCTCCTGTTAAAAACTAACTCACTTTCTGACTTTAAGATTTATCTTCTTTTCTTTTCTCCTTTCTAAACATACAGTAATCAAACTGACGCACGTATACAACATATACTCATGTGTGAGAAGAAGCACGTGAATTTTGAAACAAACGAAAGAGAGGAAAAAAGTATAGTGATATAAAAGATAATGTATTGGGAATAGCATACAGAATAACATTCATTTACGACTCTTACACATGCCTACACACCGTACTACTGAAGAAAAGGTTGCGACAGTTCGACTTTTTTCTAAGTTTGATAATGCACACGAAGTTCACAGATAGTAGCAGTATCATTTTGATATAAGTCCGCCAGATATACACACAATCTTGTCAACCAACCGGAAGTTTGATAAAACTGGAGCAGTTGAAGATTTACCACGCAGTGGTCGACTAGTAACTATACTCTCAGAAGAAAAACTGGAAGAAATAGAAGAAATGGTCAGTAATAGTCCACGATTGTCTATTCGACAAGGCTCTGCTCAAGCTGGCATAAGCAAAAGCAGTTACCAAATAGCTATAGTGCAACTTAACTTTAAACCTTATCATCCAACTTTAATAGTGGACCTTAATGAGGATGATTTCGGTCGCCGGAGCGAATTTTGCGGAATATGACTTGAAAAATTCAAGAATGATTCAGATTTAATTGATCGGATATTTTGGAGCGACGAGGCTAAATTCAGTATGAACACAGCAGTTAATCGACACAATTGCACGTACTGGTCTAGAGAAAATCCACATTTCAAATCTGAAGTATCAAATACACAACAAGGGGGTCACAGTATCGTGCAGAATGAGTTCCAATGGTCTTGTTGGCCCATATTTTCCTGATGATACTGTTACTGGTTCATCACACAAAAAGATGCTGGTCGAGTATGTATGGCCCAAATTGAAACGTAAAGAGTTTTACTTTCAACACGACGGTGCTGGAGCTCATTATACTATTGCTGTTCGAGAATGGCTTGACGAAAAATTTTCTAATCATTGAATTGGCAGACGTGGTCCATTCGACTGGCCAGCGCTTCGCCAAGTTTAACTTCGTGCGATTTCTTTCTTTGAGGATATTTAAAAGACATCGTGTTTAAAAAGCCACCTGCTACAATTATGGAACTTCAACAAAGTATTGACGAAGCCTATGAGCAAGTGGCAGAAGAAATGTGCCGCAAAGCATATCGCTCTGGTATGCAACGTTTTCGTGATTGTTTGGACTGTAAAGGACATTTTCTTTCGTACTGGCGTTGTCGCATGATATATCAGTGATGCAGCTTGATATTAATAAAAGAATATTCTACAATATCAATTTGTAGCCAAAAGTAAAAAATGTTTGTGAGTTACTTAATGATAACTGAACAGAGATTTTCTCTCTTCATATATGTACATAATTAGATCAAGCCTGTATAAATGGCACTTGGATTGTCTTCTACTATCAGAAATAAAATCAACTCATTTGAATGAGGTACAATGGAGATATTCAAAATTTTCCTTGTGGAGTTACTTACTGGACACCCTATATATTTTGTCATAAAGGGTGTCGATGACTGTTGAGAGAAACAACACGTACACCCACAAAATTCTTTTTTGTTATGGCTTTGTATAAATTTTGCCTCGTATAAATGAAGATAATAGTTATTCACAACGTTTTATTAGCATATCCATTCCAACAATCTGTATTCTACATTGGGATATACAGTAAAGCCGCCTGTGAAGAGTATGTAGTTAGAAGCTGCACGTATTCAGACTTCAGCAATCGAGCGAAAAAGAACTTTGAGTCAGACTGTATCGTTGTCCAGGCTTCTAATTTGATGATCATTAACATGATGAGTAACCTCTTGTGAAGTTTATCAATTAAACGAAAATTTTTGCACCTATGAAAATAGCACATCTTGGAAAAACATTCCTTCATACAAACTAGAAACCAGTAGAGTACTTTTCTCTATATATATCTGTCTGTTTTTCATTTTAACATAAAATTCACAAAAAACTTTAGACGGAGCCTGGTTAGTTGTTTACTAGAACGACTCACATATATTATGTAAACCATAATAACAATTTATGATAACGACATGAGCCAAAATTATGATTCTAATGTCTTTCGAAATTTTTTTCACACATGAAAAATTTCTTTTAGATAAACTGATGATTTATTAGAAAAAAAACGATAAAAATGAACATTCATCTAAACAAGATGAACATAGAGATAAGAAAATAAATGTATGGATAGTTAGAAACCACAACTACGACCATTAGGAAGTGTCATTGAACCTTCACAATTCCTTAATGTTCCTTCTAATCTATCAACAACAGCACCATTCCTATCATAAAATGTTGCTGAAAATGAGACGGATGTTGGTCTTCCAGTGTTTAAATCATCATATGATAATGCAACTTCCCATTGTACATCACCTCTATTATTTCCTAAGTGTTGACGAATTCTTGCTTCAGCTTCAAACCAATCAACCAATATATGTGATGCTCGATAATTACGATTTAAACTACGATGTTGTGGAAACATATTATATGCTACTGGTGGACCACCAAACACACTTGCAACAATATGTCCACGTTCATCTCCTGCTAGTGCATTTAAATTTGTTCTCATATATTGTGTACTTGTACTACCTGATGACGGAAAATCAACTCGATTATTAGGATTATAATGTCGAGGAGTTATTCGTGCTATAACAAATTCAACTCGTTCAGTATGTGCAAACAAACCACGTGGTAATTGTCGAACAATGCTTTCCTAAAACAGAATAAAAAGATTAGACAATTTGTCTTCTGTCATTTATTATTTTTTTAAATAAAAGTACAAACTTTAACTGACCTGAATTGGATTATTAGGGTCATTGGGTCTTATTCTTCGAATTTGATTTGGATTTTGTATTAAACGTTGATAGATTTCTTGTAATATTGTATTTATAACTAATGTTCCAACAACATATATAGCATGATTTCCTGGTGGATTACATTGATTTGGTTGACGTTTTTCCCGTGTTGTCTGTGTCATACCAGATTTTGTATATTTTGCAAGTGAAAATATTTGATAATCATATCTTGCATCAGCATTTCCATCAATTTGAAATGCAAATGTCTTTGAATCTATTTGATGGTAAATTATATTCATTGTAACATAGTTTATTTGTCCATTTCTTGATAACGATTTTCTATTATCACTAACAACGTTTATTCCTTGATCAATACTCCATATCATAACTCCTTAAGATAAATAAATGAAATCGAATTTTCATTGCATTTTATACAGTTAGTATAGGTTTATTCAATTTGTTTTATACTCAAGTTCATATGGTTCTTAAAAGAAGAGCTTTGATATAGTAGATTAATATGCTTTTTCCTTTAATGTGCATAAATTTGTTGAACAAAAATATCATACATTTCAGAATAATTCAATTATTCATACGTTTTTCATTTTTTCAAAACTTCATGTATTTGAAGTTCTTCATTCATTTCTTAGTTAAGCACGTATGCGAAAATGGATGATATGGTTAATCATATTTTGTCAATTAGACTAGTCACTTTTAGAGTAGTGATGGGTCAACTAGTGATTGATAAACATCATAAACTACGTAGAATAAATTGACTACTATTCATTTCAAAATAGAAGGCGAGTGATGGTGAGTTGACTAATTCGCGAACACGATGGTATATCGTGAAATGGTTTTCAGCAGCTTGTAGATAAACGTGGAGCACATTGAACTATGAAAGAAGGAAAATTTTCAATCGAGTTTCTAGCAAGTTTTCAAGTGAATTTTTAGTACAGAGCTGAGTACAGGACAGGACTGTCCTGGTGTTCTGTCCTACGCGACAGGATGAATCCAAAATTTTCGTTTTGTCCTGCCATCCGTCAGAGTGGGACAGAATGCATTGCCTAGTCCTATATTTTATCAGAGCTTTTGTATAGTCTTCATATTACATACACCGTTTCTTGATACTTGATATAAGTTTACAAGAAGAATAGTCTTATTCCTGAACGATTGTCTAACATTTTATTGATCAGATCAATGCAAAAGAATAACGGTTTTTTGTAAAAATGACTTTTTTGTTTTGTAAAGAAATTTTATTGCCCTGCTAAATGTCCTATCCTCTACTTTCCTCTGCTTTGAAAAGCTACGATGTTTTTTGAGATCCAACATTTACATTTTCAGTATTAGCATGTGCGTTCTATCTAGAAAAGGGTCTTCTTTCAAACTACGGTCAGCTGAAATTTCTGTCTTGTGTCGTTCAAAAATTATAGGAGTTCTCCAGAAACCTTTGATTTCGATTAGCTTTTCTTTGAATCAGCCGAAAATATGTCGAAAGAGGGGTTTTCCATTACATTGAGCCGATTGCTGGCATGTCTTTCTTTTTTTCAAAGTTGTCTAAGGCTATAGCTCAAAGTTTTCCAAACATCCCCATTGTCTATTATGTAAGTGGAAAAAATTGGATTTTGAAAAATTTTAGTTTATGACTTTACACAGATTTCAAAATGGGAAAAAATATCAGCAATCGACTCAATATTTTCAAAAAACCTGCTCTAGACATATTTTTGGCTGAATCAAAGGCTACTGATTGAAATCAAAAAGTTCTCGAGAACCTATATATGATTCCTGCACGAAACAGGTAGAAACCTCGACTGGCCGTAATTTGAAAGAGAACAGTTTTCTCTATAGAATGTGCGTATTAAAACTGAAAACTTAACGTAGAATCTCTATGGATCATTGTGATGTTCCAAAGATCCACGTGAAAATTTGCAAGAAACTCAGTCATCGTTTTCCTTTTTTCCATAATTTGATGTACCTCAGACTTGCGTACAAGTTGCTGAAAACTGTTTCACGAATTATTTATCTTAGAACTACTCGTCGTTTGTTTTGAAATGGATAATAGGCAAGAAACGTTTTGACTAGTCTCTAATGAGTCCAAAAGTAGTTTAATGTTAATAGAACTAGTCACGGACGTAATCACATATTTTTTTCGTATGAATTTAAATAAAAAATAGACATGATCGTTAACATGAACATAAAATATACAAAAACATCAAACACAAACATGTAAAAAGGCAGAAAAATAATTTTTGGAGCATGTTTATCTAAGGCATAAATTTGCTTTTCTCTTTTGTGATGAGATAAAGTTTTCTTTTGTCTTGATGATTATTCAAAATAGTAAAGTGACTGATTTTAGACATTTTTTCTTTAACTATCATTTATCTAAAAGGAATTTTTTGCAAAATTATTTATCATTCTTATTTTAACGTTACATAAAGTTCATATTTACTATTGAGTTCATACAAACAGACTTAAGATATATATATATATATATATATACTATATACTCAATTTTTTAACTAAATGAATATGTTTATTACTATAAGAATGTTTTCTTTGTTTTTTTTTACCTTTTAAACAATGTTTTGCTGCATATTGTCGTCTCATTGCTAATGTTTCTTCATCATCATATGCTACCCATTGATCACGATTCCAAACTAATATTTTTGACATTGAATCTTGATCGAATGTTGGTGTTAATTGATTTTTAGTAATAATATCTTCTATTTCAAACCATGCAAGTACACCTGGTGTTTTTGTACATGGGCCTGGTTTTCCTGGTCCTTTGAAACAAAAGAAACAAATAAAAATAGTAAAATCAAAACTGTACTATATTTATTATTCAAACCTTTAAATTTACATCCAACTTTTTTACATGATGGATCATCTAATGTAAATGATCTTCCATAATAACCAAGACCCAAAACAAGTTTATTTGTATTTACACCATCTCTTAAAAATAATTTGAATGCTTCTGTTATTTCTTGAATATTTGTGTGTGATTTAACATATGGTCCTAATGATGCAATATCGCTATCCCATGTTCCATGTATATCATATGTCATAGCATTAATAAAATCAATATATTTTGACATTTCACCAATTTTAAAATGTCTTAAATACCAATAACTAGCTGGTGCTGCAATAGTTATCATATAATTATTACCAAATGCGCTTCTCATATCTTTAACTAACTTAACATAATTATCTGTATCCTCTGGTGAACCACCACGATCATTAGCTGCTGGATATTCATAATCAATATCAATACCATCAAATTGATATTTTTTTAAATAATTAGTAACTGATATTATAAAACGTTTTCGAGAAGCTGAAATGAAAAAAGAAGGAAAAAGGAATTATGATAACAAAAAGATATTACAATATGCACTTAATTGATTCATTATATATAAAACTAATTAGTTTTACTAATTAATAATAATTTAATATCTTCATATCTTATACTTAGTCTAATATCGAAAAATTTAATTAATAATCTGATAAGATTATAACATAAGATTAGAGATGTAATGAACTCGAAAATAAATCGAGACTTTCAGTCTTGATCGTCTTGGCTTTGGTAGATCCCTAAATAAGATTCAATCCTTAGAATAAGTACTCTAAAACAAGCATTGAATGCTTAAGTTCATTTTTTTTATCGATTTTAACGCTCTTCAGTGCCTGTCTTACAAAAAAAACTGTAATAGTCTTAATTGATGTTCATAAATTTATCAATTTTCTTGAGTAATTTATCTGAGAGAGAAAAAATCCAAGTCTATTTCACATACCATCAGTTGATATAATATTATGAAATTCGTTTCTTGTTGGTCCTGGATCATTAAATGCCCAACCTCCAACACTTATTAAAACTTTTAAATTTGAATTAATTTGTTTTAAAGCAACAAATTGTTTCATATTATTTTCTTCTTTTGCATCTGGATTTATCATAACACCATTTGATATTTTACCAAATGCATAATTTAAATGTGTATAATCACGTGGATCAATATTAATTGATTTATATGTTTGACATGGACGAGATGCAGCCCATGATGCATAATATCCAACTTGAATTAAATTATTTTGATTATTTGAACATTCTGGTAATTGTTTATCACCACAATTATTTTGACATTTCTTAGATATATCACAAAAATCTGATGTTGTACCACAAAATCCATATTGACTACAACAAACATTTAATGGACATAGTTTTTGTACACCATATTGACCACATTCAGCTTTTGCATTACAATTTGATAAACATCCTGTACCACAAAAATTTGGTCCATAGCCACAATTACCGAATTTACTACAACAAGCTTTATTTGTACATTCTTGTGTTGCAGAACATGTTTGACATTGAACATAGTTATATTCAAATAGATATAATAATAATGAAATAAATAATAATTTCATTTTATAATAATAAATATATAATTAAGATCCGCAAGAAAATTTCAACATATGATTGTTCTTTTTTTCAACTATTGATACTGTATTCTTTTAAGATATATATATATATATTTCTTCTCTCTCTTGTTTCTGAAAATAACATTTGTTAAATCATTATCTATTGACGTGTTTATATTGGGTGAATAGTGTGCGTCATTATTACTCAATTGTATACAAGGACATAAATAGAGTGGGATAAAACAGCTCCCCACCTGCTTTTTAAATTTGATTACATCGCACTTGTAATTGCGAAGTTCTCCTATGCTACATACTCTCCCATCTTACGTCCTTGGTTTTGTAAATAAAAGTTTTAAATTATTTATGTATATACAATACTTCTGTTCTTGATTTTTATTTTGATGCTTTAGTGAAGATTATTCCTTCTCATTTCAATGTATTTTTGTTACTATCACTTCATTTTACCCTCGATGCACTTAATTACTTATTTTTGGATTTTTATTCGATGACGCATGTTATGAAAAGAGTGACTAATAATGTTTGACAGTAGTTTATAAATGAAAAGTATATGCGAAGAAAAAAATACGTTATGTGCGTAGAAGATAATGCTGTGATTTTTTTTCTTTTTTTTTATGATTATATGATAATAGGGATGAAAAAAATACCATTGACTCACTCATATATATTATATGAATAGTATGCAGTAACGACAGAACGAAAATATAATTAGCAGTAAGTGGGTGATCAATTTTTTCCCCATCTCCTTATAAAAATAGATAGATTTTGAGGATCAATCAGTATTTAAATAATTGGTTTGAAACGAATCAAACAATTACTACTATTTATAAAAAAAAAGTACGTATACATTTTCTAACTAAATTCTTATTGTAGCATTCAATAAAGCTCTATATAGTTTCTATTGTTGGAATCAAGAGTTGTTCTTTGATTCAACAACTATTATCGATTTATCACAAGAAAAAAAGTTTCATTTATAAAAAGATGAAGATGAACTACGGTAAGCCGATTTTAATTCGACATCTTTGAATTTATGTTCAATTTTGAATTTGGGTTTGTTATTAGGTGATTTCTTAGTACCTTATATTATTGAACAAATAACTAATAAAAGAATGATAATAAAGCGAATTTTCGATATCTAATTTATTTAATTTTTTTTATATAAAATTTAATTAGCATTTGTACTAATTAGTTTTGTTTTCGAATCTAAAATCTCGATTTACTTACCATCTAATTGTACGTGAATAGCAATCGAAAAAGTTTTCTTGTTTGAATTGAACTCAAATTTTGTTCTCATGTATACAATTCTGAATCATAATTATAGGAAAATAGATTTTTTAACAAAGGTAACGTAAAAATTGGGTATCTATAAAAAATTTCTCATCTCTTGAGACCATACATTTTTATCGTTGTAACAAATTTTCTTAGACATCTCATTGTGTAATGTTATTTGAGTTTAAATAATTTCAAACTCTATTGAACTTTGCTGCTTATGAAATTCAGATCTACCTTAGTCGTAAATTGGTTAATAATTCAATTACAGTTGGACAATCATTTAGATTAGTATTAAGCAAACGACTTTTTTAATTGCTCTTTATGTACATTAGGTTTACAAAAAGTGAAGATTGAAATTTGAAAATCGTTAAAGAACATAAATATGAATTAGTTTTATTTAAGATAAAAATTTAAAAAATAAAATACTTCATATTAGCTTTATCATTCCTCTTCTACAATATGTTTATCTTCATTATGTTTTATTTTTAGTATTATTGATTGTATTTTACTTAATGACAATATTGAAATGTATTAATAGTGTTTGTGTTATTAATCGTAGTTGTCGAGCTATTCATGCTGAAGTATATAATCGTGATGGTTGTGCTACACTATTTGGTTTAGTTAATAAATGTTTTTCAAAAAAAGTACCTCATGATTCAAAAGAATGCTGTGATTCTCATAATCATGATTGTTATACAGGTACAGCTAATGATGCATTATATTGGATTGATTGTGATACTGATAGTAGAAAAACAAAAGGTTTTGGTCAAGCAGTTGTTGCTTGTGCAGCGTGTAATATTATTGTTTATAATGAAGGTTTAATAGCAGTTGAACCAGAAAACAAACCAGGACAAACAATTGCTGTATATGCATGTAAAAATATGGATAATGCTAATAAAAATAAAAGATGTGCTTAATATTGTTACTTATTTATTTTTTTCTAAATGAATTTATTGTTTCGATAAAAGAAAAAACAAAAAAAGAAATTTCTTGTATATTTATTTGGTGAATATTATGGCGTTCTACATCAGAGACCAAAGCTGAATAGAATTCGGAAAACTGCCTGATCTATCTATCTCGAAGAAAAGGTAGAGACATTCTACTCGCACTTCATTTTTGCTTTTCAACAATCTATTATTTTAGAGTAAATGAAGTGTAGAACTGCTACGAACATTATGATTTTTAACTAATCACATAATATTTATTTGATATTTCGACAATATTCTTTTGTCATCATCAGAATAAATACAAATTTCACAATAAGAACAATACAAAGAAACTCAAGTTAAGAAAAAAGAAAAATAAATATAGAATGACGATTGTATGTAAGTGAGAGTATTATATATGTATGGATGAGTTGACTAATTGTTGAATGAGTCGACTGTTTTTGAATGAGCGCTCATTCTAAAATAGTCGAATTCTGTTCGTTAGAACAGGTGTTTCGGGGCCCATAAAATTGCACCTTGAGGTGCTATCCGAATACTTTGAGTTTATATTTCACTTCGTTTATTGCTTTATCATGTGCATAGTGAGTGAGTAGACTTTCTTTGATGACTCTGCGTTTCCAGACGGATTCGTGTGCAAGTGTTTTAGCATTATCAATGTCCATTTTATGGTTTTTAGTATTAGAGTGTTGAGCGATGAGGGAGGTTGGTTTATCTTTTTTAATGTCGTTTCGGTGTTCCTTCATTCTTGTTAGCATATATCGATTCGTTTCTCCGATGTATGTTTTGTCGCAATCTTTACAGTTTACAGCATATATTAATTTCTTTTTCTTTTTAGTTTCGTCACTGCCTTTTTGATGAGGAAGAAATATGTTTCGAAGAGTCATTGATTTTCTGTATGCTAGATTAAGAGTCAAATTTGGTAGTAGTTTTTTGAAGAGTTTTCGAATCTTGTGTCCGAATTCAATAGATTCCTGACCGTAATAGGAAAAGACGAAATATATTTCTTTCTTTTTTGTTGTTTTTGGTTGAGGCTGAGAGGAAGGATTATTTAGTCGTTTATGGATTGCATTTGCTTCTTTTATGCCTCGTTTGATGATGTGAAATGGATAACCGTTTTTTTGTAGAGTTTTTATCAAATGCTCTCGTTCGAGTTTTAAGTATGTCTCATTTGAGCAGAGCTGTAGCGATCTGTAGTAGAGAGATTTAATTAGACCGAGTTTATATTTTCGTGCTTGATTACTGTCATAGAGAAGATATAGATTAGTAGTCGTTGGCTTTCGATAGATTGTTGTTTCATATTTATTATTCTGACGAGTTATCAATAGATCAAGAAAGGGAAGACTTTCATTATTTTCGTCTTCGATTGTGAAGTGTATGTTTTTGTGCCATTTATTTATTCGAGAGAGAAAATCAGTAATGTTCTGTTTTTTACTGAATATGCAAAGGATATCGTCAACATAGCGATACCATATTTTTGGTTTATTTGTAGTGAAGCGATTTAATTTTTCTTCCAGTTTAGAGATAAAGATGTCTGCAAGAATGGGGGCTATGGGAGAGCCCATTGCTACCCCGTCTATTTGTATATAGTTATCATTAAAGAATCTGAAAGGCACATTTAAAGAAGATAGTTCTAATAATTTCTTAAATTGAGATCGATCGTAAGGGCAGTTAGGTTTCTTTCCGTCTTTGTATAGTAGATCTAGTGCAGTGTCGATTGCTTCGGAGACTGGTATGTTGGTGTATAGACTTTCGATATCGAAACTGACTAGAATTTCGTCTTTATCGAATTTTAGTTTAGTAATTTTCTTCATTAATTCAAAACTATCTTTTATGAATGAGGGAGGTTTTTGACGTTCTGTAGATATGATTTTTGTTAGGTGCTGTGCTAGACGATAGTTATAGGTTGCCGTAGTAGAGATGATAGGACGTAAAGGAATATTTGTTTTGTGAATTTTAGGCTGTCCGTAGAATACTGCTGGTGAAGAGCAAGTAGAATGAAGTTGGTAGAATAGTTCTTTCTCGATGATTTTTTCTTTTAGTAATGAATTAAGATAGTTATTCATTTCTTTTTCTTTTTCTTCGACCAGATTGTTTTTGGTTTTTTTAAATTGTTTATTGGTTAATAGTGATTTAGCTTTTTCTATATAGTCTTTTTTGTCGAGTATAACTATGGCGTTGCCTTTGTCTGCTTTGCTGATGATGATACTTTTATTTTCTTTTAATGTTTTTATGGCATTCATTTCTTCATCGGATATATTTCGTATTAGTTTATTTTTGTTATTTTTTATTAGCTGTTTAGAGAATCCGTAGATATCGTGACAGAGAGATCTAAAGGTAGTTGGATGGCATAGCTTTTCAATTTTGCATATGTTTAGTTCAACGTCTGTTTGGAAGTTTAGATAGTTATTCAATTTATTATCGATGCAGAAGTTCATTCCTCGGCAGAGAACACGTTCTTCTGCTGGTGTTAATTGATGACTAGATATATTATGTAGGATCTTATCCTTCATAGATTTATAGTCTTGTCCGATTATTCCTTGGTTTAGGTGTTTTATTTTATTTTCATGAGTTTTTGTTGTTTTTTCGTTCACATATTTAGCTCGTTGGTATAGAAATTGCTCAAGATGCTGATAATCAATCAATGTTAGTTTTTCTTTTAGAACATTTAAGATAGAGTCGATTTCGTTTTTTAATTTTACTGAGTCGTGGTTTCGATGTTTGTATTCGGTTATAATGCAATTACGTTGAAATTGTTGATATTGATTTAGAGATTTTAGTTTATCTTTCCATAATTTGAAACGAACAAATTTCGGTGTTAAATTATAAATTAAGCATAATCGTAAGTATTCCATATCGCATTTACTTTTTTGATACCTTGTTGTGAGTCTTTCGATGCGTCTTATTGTGAGGAAAGTAGACTCGCCGTACTTCTTGCGAGTGTTAATAAGAAAATTTGTAGGAAGAGCAGTTGAAAGTCGAAGAATAGAGTAAATGAAGTGTAGAACTGCTACGAACATTATGATTTTTAACTAATCACATAATATTTATTTGATATTTCGACAATATTCTTTTGTCATCATCAGAATAAATACAAATTTCACAATAAGAACAATACAAAGAAACTCAAGTTAAGAAAAAAGAAAAATAAATATAGAATGACGATTGT